GCACCAGAAAATACTCCAGCAGGCTGGACTGCAGTTCAGTAGAAGAGTGCTTGTCTTTCGTGGGCCCAATCCCTAGCACAGCAAAATTAATATTTTTAAAAAGAAGAAGCTTTAAAAACATACACTAGTTCAAGAAATAAATACACTACTTCAGAAACAAACTCAGCTAATGGTCTTACTTCTTTCTTTTGTGCAAATTGAGATGAAGTTTGAGTCCCAGATACAAAGCATCTTCATCCATCCTCCCCCCTCCCACCACCCCTGCCCCACTGTCCTTGTCTCTGGAATTTGGTCCCACCCTCTATTTCCCCATACTTTATTAGCCACTTATCTACCAGATGTTTCCAGGAACAAACAATGTCTCCCAGCTCAATTCTGACCAGACCAAAACAAAACAAAACAAAACAAAACAAAAAACCCAAAAGCAAACAACCCCGGAAACCACAGACGCCAGGTTTTCTGCCTAGCCTGCATGTGTACCCGGTTCCTTATGAACAGCAGTCGTAACTGGCCTCTTTCCCAGCACAAGGAATGGTCCTTAGCTGCTGGAAAAGACTTTTCCTCTCTGTGAAGGCTTTAATACCCAGGTCTGCAGACTCTTCCAAGGTCTACAGACACTGCCATCCCAGATCTTCCTAGTTGCCGGCTCCTCTGCTCCATTTGGTTGTTTCACAAGCAAAACAGCTCCCGAGGGAAATTACCTTCTCTCCCTAACCTGGTGCCAACCTCATCCTGCCCTTCCACCTACCTCTACCCCTACACTGGTGCTTCCAGCACCATAAATGCTTTCCCTATCCCCACCCCCACTCAGATGTTCACACCACAAACTTCTGAGTCATCTTGTCCCCCCACCCCCACCGCCCCGTCAGCAGTATTAGTTAATCTCCACTCTATTTCTGATTTCAGCCACAAACCAAGTCTCATTGTCTCTGTTATTATATTTCATCCATCACACTATCCTTGGGTGACTGTAGGGGCACTGGGTGGCACTGGCCTGGGTGGCTGCACATGACTGCACAGGCTGAGCCATATGTCTGGATGAGGAGCTGAAGCCTTTGGTGCTGCTCTCTCTGGGGGTAAAAAGGAGTTTCTCACACTGGTGCCCCACAAGGGCACCACAAGTCTCAGCAGTACCCACTCCTCAAACAGCACTCTGCACAGTGGCAGGATGACCATTTGAAAACCCACGAGTGGGTATGACTACTACCATCATATCCAAGATCCTACAAATGACCCAAAGCCTTCATCCCAGCCATTTTCCTCTTGAGTGCAACATTCTTCTCTTAGAAACCCATCTCCTAACTTATCTGGTTGATTCCTGTTCACTTTTTGGGTATGTTAAATATCAAACACAACTTACAGTGAAAGAGACCTTCCAGGTCTCCCCTAAACCATGCAAGGGGCCCTTGCTCAACAAACAACACCCCATCCTTTTCAACAAACACTGCCACTTAGGATTAGGATAACCTGTGACTGGGTGCTTGTCTGCCTTTCTCTAGCCAACAGACTCAAGGATGCAGTGAAGAACTGCAGAGCCATTCATTCAGTCATGGTCGCAGCTGGAGGCCCAGAACCAACAACACCTGTCAGCAAACAGCTGTTCAGTGAACTCCTGATTGAACAAGCAATGAAGGTACCCAGAACCCCAAGGAATGAGGGCTACTACTACTACTACTCACACACACACACACACACACACACACACACACACACACACAAAATTGAACCATGGGGGGGATTTCTTTGGAATTTCCTAATTGGATGGAAAATTACAGATCAATGACTCACGTAGGGGGGACAAAGCCCACAGGAGGTGTACCTGCCTAGGTGGAGCAAAGCCCTGGGTTTGATCCCCTCCTGGCACAGAGAAAAGCAAAAACAAGAGACTCCAGTGTTCGGTGGTAGCACCACTGCATTTGGGAGATTTGCTATTGAGGGTTACCATCCTCCATTTAGCTATGGACAGAGAGCTTTAATGGAGCCAACGTCACTTGATACACAACCTGTGAGTCCATCACATGGGGCCCCTTAAATACTCTGTTGCCACCAGCCTACGTTTTTTACATTTTAAACAAACAAACAAACAATCTCCCAAATTATGTATCTAGTTCTGAGTTCTACAAATTAATTTCTGAAGGGGCCAACTCCAACCGACTCCTGGATAAGAATTCACCTTTCATAGCCTGGGCTATGCTGTTAGTTCCCTGAGCTTATTGCTCTAAGGCCTACAATTCCTTTCCATATCAGTTATTACGGGTATTTTAAGGTACTCTTTCCCTTAATTTTTGGGTTCTCAGACTACAGAAATGCACAGCAGAATGCTGTTGGCTAAAGGTTGATTTTCTTCTACCATATGGGAGCCCGGGATTGAAGTCAGGCAGTCGGGCTTGGCAGCAGACATCTCTTCCTGCTGAGCCACCACAATGGCTTTATTCACACTGAGTCTCAGCTGATCTTGTGTGTTTGTTGAAGAAGGGTCTCTAGGTAGCCCAGGAGAACCTTGAACCATTAATCTGTCTATTCCAGCCTCTTGAGAACTAGAGTTAAAGGTGTGCACTCGGTATTCTTGTTTAGTTTTCTTTGGGGCTGTTACTTCAGACTGTCAACTTTCTCTATTCAATGTGCACCGCCAGTAGATACTTCTCTAACTTCAAATAGCTGAAAGAAAAAATAAGTATATTAAAAGAAATATCAAAATTAGTTTACTATTCCTTTTTTAAAAGATTTATTTATTTATCTATTTATTTATTTTAGTGCCTATGTGCTCATGTCTGTGTGTGTTTATAACTTTGTGCCTGTGCATGCAGCTAACGAAAGAAAACCTGAAGAGGGCATAGGACCCTTTGAAGCTGGTCTTACAGTCACTTGTGAGCTGTTCAACACTGGTTCTGGAAACTGAATTCTGATTCTCTGTAAGAGCAGCAACTGCCCTTTTAACCACTGATGGATCTCCCAATCCCCTAGTATTTCTTCTCCAGCTTTGAGTTTCTAATGCTAGACTCTTACCAAGTTTTACAACGGCATAAACACCTGAAATTTTTGTGGCGGTAAAACTTGGCAGGGTACAGAAACCATTTACAGGGAATAAGAACGCTGAGCTCTTTGTAATAAAAAAAAAAAGACTCATATTTTGAGGCATTTTAATTTACTGATAGCTTCTCTACTCGTTGATAGGAAGTACTTAAACCAATAGTCCACTTGATACTTAGAGCATTTCCTATGTAAACCAATTTCCACCCTCAGTGTTCTACTTTGCTCCTCAGGGAAATCCTTGGCAATGTCTGAAGCCGTATGAGTTTATTGTCACTGGAGTAGGGGAGGGTCTTAGAGCACCTGGTGGGTACAGGAATGCTGGTAAAAGTCCTATAAAGTACACAACAATCTCCTGTCACACACACACGCACATCTAGCCAGAAGCTAGGGCCACAGCTTGATGTGTACAGTACTAGCTTGCCAGGAAGAAAGCTCTGGGTTTTCTTCCCAATACCATACATATAAGGGGATTGGTGGTGCTCATCTACAATTCCAGCTCCTGGAAAGTGAGTACAGATGGATTAGAAGCTCAAAGTCATTCTCAGCTTTCACAGTGAGTTGCAGGTTGTACAGACTCCATCACAAAATGAAATCTATTTGGTCAAAAGTGTCAACAGTCCTATAAACACGTGTGACATTTGTCTCCAAAGGAAACCTGAGAGTATCAACCCGCACCTCCATCGTCAAAGCTAAGAATATAGTCCCCAGTAGTCCCCACAAGAGTATACCACACTTGCTTTACAACAACAGTCACCTGGGAACAAACACTCTTTTCAGCAGAGTTGGGTATTTGACATCCTGACCCAGAATTGTAAGCACATTGCTCGTTTATTAAGATGAATACTAGAAATAGCCTCAGGGATCCTTATCTGTCCATATACAAGGCTACATTACTCAGTGCAGTTGAAGTACTACATACTCCATAGCAAACAGCATTTGAGCCAGCCGTGCTACATATGCCTGAAATCCCAGTACTTAGGAAGCCGACCCAGACTTTGAGGCCAGCCTGAGCTATACAATGAGAACCTGTCTCGAACAAACTAATACAAAACTGCATCTGACATTCAGAAAAGACTTTCCAACAGTACTATTTTTTTTTTCTACCACATAATTTCTAAATTGGCCGTTTCTAAGAAAGCAAGGTTTCCCACCCTTAAAGCCTGAAAAAGAAAAGAAGGTGGAAGGAAGGAAGAAGCAAAGTAGAAATACCTGTAGTTTTCTTCCATCTTTCCAGAACTGAAATCTTCTTCCAATCCTCCTGCAGAGGGGCCCCTGTCTACTAACAGATAATTTACTCTGATCTTTAAAAAAAAAAACCATTTACCCCTCCTCTTCCTTTCCAGAAGACAAACCTGCCTTTCAGAACAGCTCTAAATAGGGGCAGCAGGCCAGAGGAAGAAACCATATTACTACCCCACCACCACCACCAAATTCAGGTCACAGCCCCACCCACTCTCCTTCTCAAGTCAACGCACGGGTGCTTTATAAACCCTACCTCCTCCCAGTTTGCCTCTAGCTCCATTATGTGTAACAAAACAGTTCCCTTCTGGAGTGAAAAGGAAAGATAAAGAGTACACATCAATCTGACACTTAAGTTTTTGCAGAGCCAAGTTCGTATCCTCCACAGGAGGAGGATCCTTCACAGTTGTGCGTGGGGGTGGGGGGAGAGAGAGCGCATTTTTTGTTCTGCAGTGAAAGAACTGAGACTGGGAGCAGCTGCAAGTGAGACGGACTTCTCACTCTTGAGGTGTGATGGTGCTCATCTTTAACCTTGGTAGACAGAGGCAGGAGGATCTCTCTGAGTTCGGAGCCAGATGAAAGAGAGAAGGAAAGACGAAAGAAAGAAAGAAAGAGAGAGAGAGAGAAAGAAAGAGGGAGGGGAGAGGGAGGGAGAAAAAAAGAAGAGAAAAACTAATAACTCAAGAAAAAGCAAAAACTAAAGAAGTAACGTGTCTAAGAAGAATTACCTCTTTTCGTAACAGACCTGCAGCCCAAGGCAAGAAGAAGAGCGGCGACTGCTTGGACCCCAGACTGGCAGGACTGATTGCAATCACCCTAAGGCAGTTGCCTCTGCCCCAGCGCTGGCTTCTCGGTTGGTGCTCTAACAGGGAGTCACAAACATCTCTATGGTCTCTACGATGGGCTATGGGCTTAAGAAGTTTAAGTCCTTGGCGCCCAAGACACCGCTGTAACCGTTCGCCTTTACTTTGCACGCCTGCAACCAACCCAGATTTCTAAGCCCTTACTCATTACACCAGTCCGGGAAAGAGTGGTCAGAAAGTGACTTCTAGATGCCACGTGTATCCGAGTCCCACCGAGGGACCGGAAGGAGAGTGGGAAGAGGACTCCTGCTCCATCCTAGCCCGGGATGCCCGGACCAAGCCCGGAACCTCTCTCCCTGCTCCAGCTCCACTCCCTCCTGGGCACAGCCCGTCCCGCCCGTTAAATCCGGCTCGGTGCTGTCCAACTCTGCCGGGCTACCCTACCGCTGGCCCGACCTAGGTTACCTGGAGCCTGTGCCTGCAGGGCGCACGAGAGACCGCTGGATCCGCTCGCCAAGCGGATACTGGCGCGCTCAGCCTTCTACGCTCCAGACCTCCGGGCCAGCGCCACGCCCTAGGACCCACCCTCTAAACCACGCCCCGGGCCCACCCTTGAGACCACGCCCCCGTCCCACTTCGCCCACCTGCGGCCCGGACTCGAGGTGAGGGCGCCCTCTGGGCGTTGCAGTGGTCCCGGAAGAAAGCTAGGATCTGAACTTCCTCTTGCGTCCTAAGAATTCTTGGTTTTCTGAGCCAAAGACAAGATACCTGAGTGGGATCTTTTAAGAACTTTTATGTCTTCTTCCTCTGAGGCAGAAAATGTGCCAACTGTTGTCATGTCTGATCTGAAAAGTATGTAAAAGGTTCAAATGCCAACGAGTTTATACTGCATAAACTTTAGAGATGCCCATGCCTTATCATTCTCTAGATAAACCTTGTATCTCATTTTGTGTCACCAGAATGTCAGAATTTATTGAATATCCAATATATTCACAATGTCAGTTTTTTTGGATGCAATTTGCCAGGTAATCCTGATTTTACTTAAAAGCTGGTTCCTCTTTCGCATTTTAACTCGCAGTACTAACTCACTTTACACCTGATGCTTTACACAGTAAATAATACACAAATACACAGATTACAGAAAATAAAAGTTTGCAAGCATGTGAGCCTTAGGTGAGCTTGCTCTGTGTCCCTCGAGGATAGGAGTCATTATCCAGGAGTGTGGTGAGCAAGGGTGGGCTGTCTTAGAAGCACCAATCTGTACAGTTCACCCTCCTGGGCTGTAGATCTGAAGAGCTTGCCCTGAGGACAGCCTGCTACAGTGTTACAGTTGAACAGTAGACAGCAGTGTCTACCAAGTAGGACAATAGCACTCCAGTTCATGTCAACTCTGCCCCATGTGTCCTTTCTGCTAAGCTTGGGCCCTTCTTCTTCTATTCTGGGGGTTGACTCTTGGAAGATTGCTTTGTTTGCCTTGTCCCTGTTCCCTCCCCCTCCCTCCTCCCTGGAGCCTCACAGGGGAAAGCAACCTCAGTCCTGGCCACCTGCAGAAACAATGAACTAGGTGTTACTGACTCCTTCCTTGAACTTTGCCCCTTTCCCTAAGAGATTTCCCCTCCTGTGACAGCCTTACAAACTCTGGCTCTAATTTATGCAGAAAAGTAATGTTTTAACACATTTTTAAGTTTTATTCCATTATTATTTTACATGTTATGTGTGTGTATGTTCATCGCATGCATACAGTTCCCCTAAGGCCAGAAGCATTCATTGGTCCTCTCAAACTGGGGTTACAGATAGCCGTGAGTCTCCACACTGGTGGTAGACATTGAACTGGGATAATCTGGAAGGTCTTCCAGCTCCGTTTATAATGGATTATGTGTTAGGTCTAGAACAGAGAAAGGACATTGAGCCCTTTCTAGTGTGAGGTTTATAATTTATTTTGTCATGGAAACAAAAATATAACAAGTATCTTTTACAAAATGCACATAGTTTGCATTCTGTTCCAACTAGATAAAAAGCAACTGTGATTTCTTTTCTCTATTGTTAATCCACTTTTCTCTTTACTAGGGGACAAATGATTGTAAGTGAAAATGCATAGTGAAGCCTCCTGGCAAATATGGAATGTCACAATGTGACATCTGAAAGTCAGCCTGTCAGTTGTTTTCATGAGAATGGGCTGTCTCCCCCATCCTCTCTGAACTCATTTCCTCTGCCAAGGTTTACTCCTTGTAGTTTAAGTGTGTTTTGAACCATCAATATCTATAAGAAACACACACACACACACACACACACACCTCCCTTTTCCATTGTGTTGTTTTCTGTTTGTTTGGTTTCAGTTTGGGTACTGTAATGATAACCAGGGACTTAGGCAAATGCTTTGATTACTTGAGCTACACCTCCGAGTCAGCCCCTGAAATTCTAACTTTAATGTGTAGAGTCAGCTTTTAGAATAAGTCTTACGTAAGGTGGGAGAGTACTTGCTCCTCTTGCAGAGGATTCCGAGTTGGATTCTAGCCCCTACATGGCAACTCTTAATCACTTGAAACTCTTGTTCAATTTCGGGGGATCTAGTTCCCTCTTTTAACTTCCATGGATACCAGACACACATAGCACATACAGATACATGCAAGCAAATACTCAAACATATAAAATAAAAAAATAAGTGAAACATTAAAAAAAGAGTGAATCTTATTTTCCAATTGAAATCAGTATACCATATATGCAATCATTTATTTGGCTTTAAATGCTGCAATAGGACATATGCATCCTTCTATACTATGTTTCTGGATTGGAGTATTGGGATGTGTGAATTGGGATCTGGTCAGAAAACAGACCTCAAAGCAGTTGTTTTTCCAGAGGCAGTAAGGAATTGCTGGGAAAGATATGGAAAGCTGGGAAGGACCAAGTGCTGAGGCAGGGACACTTAACTGCAGGAAGCATCTGCCATTCAATTAGGGAGAGGGAAACCCTGGGCTGCTGGGATTCAGACCCTTGAGGAGGTAGTGGTTCTGCCCTGGGACCTTATTTCTGAAGGTCAGCCCTGGAGCTGGATACAGAAGGGGGATTAAATCCCAGAGATCAAAATCAGCCGCTGCAGCCATCAAGACACACAATTTGCTAACACCATGAGGAAGAGCAAGGAAATATGATGGATTACTTCCTCCTTGCTCCTCCAGCCTTCCAACTCCTCCAGTGCCCTCTACTGGCAAAACTTTCCAGAAAATCCAGTGCCCAACCCCAGTACACAGTGTAGAAAGGTGAGCTTCCAGACTGTTTTCATAAGCATCACAAACTAACTCACTATCGCAAACTTCTAATATTGGTGTGGAGTATGTCTAAGGGGCACAACTGTTATACTACATACAACATGCTGGTACACTAGTAGTGATATATATATGTATATATATATGATGTATATGTATAATTTATTTTATGTGTACGATTGTTATGACTGTAGTCTCTGTACCATATGAGTGTCCAGTGTCCACAAAGGCCAGAAGAGGACAACAGATCCCCAGGGGTTGGAGTTACAGACAGTTGTGAGCATCCTTGTGCGTGTTTAGAATCAAATAGAGGTCCTCTGGTGTGTGATAAGCTTTTCTTGAAGAGATGTCACACACATGTCTGCTCAGCCAGATTGGGAGCCTATTATAGACCAAAGTATGGATGCAATCAGAGTCTAATTTGGTAAACCATAAGTTTTATTGGGGTTACTTAGAGGAGCAGAAATGACTCGAAGACAGATATCAAAGCTCACCCCAGTACAGGTGACAACTACAGGTGCCTGGAGCACACCACACAGCCTGTAGGGAGCTCAACAGGATGGAGTTTCCTTTCCAACCCCAGTTGGTCTAAACCTCTTCCGGGCAGCTAGTCTGGTCTCAAGAGTCTTCTTGGCATCTAGGCTTCCTGAGAGGAGCTCTCAGGTTCTATTGCTAACTGTGGCAGGGAGAGACCTAGTGAATCTGGTCAGTCTGAGGGACGTCCTGCAGCAAATTTGAGTCGTTTATTTTCCTGCTTAAGGAGCTTCCCTGTAGAATGGACTATTTCAGTCTGAGAGGAAACTAACAATTGCATAACGCCTTCATGAGCAGCCAATCAGTGCTCTTAACCGATGAACCATCTCCCGGCCCCCCAGCAATATCTTTTATAAATATTACCAGAGAACTGCAGTATATATAGTACACTCCTCAGTGAATATGTCAGAGACACAGACATGTTTGTCTTTTGTTCTCCATGTCATAGTGTATTAAAAGGATATAAATTCAACACCCTAAGTCCATTTCATTGGCTATAATTCTCTATTTATTCCTGATTTTACTTGTTATCCACAGCCCTCAGCAATCATAACTTCTTTTATTTAAAACTTTTTTTTTTTTTTTTGGTTTTTCGAGACAGGATTTCTCTATATAGCCCTGGCTGTCCTGGAACTCACTCTGTAGACCAGGCTGGCCTTGTCGAACTTAGAAATCTGCCTGCCTCTACCTCCCAAGTGCTGGGATTAAAGGCGTGCGCCACCACCGTCTGGTTACTTCAAACATAATTACTAATATTACTGATGTTGTGGGAAGGGAGATGTGTCTCTTCCTGAACTCCATCTCTAACTTCTGATCCAGAAGAATTCACAGCAGGATGCAAGCAGGGCAAGCAAGTAATTGGGGGTTATTTCAACAGGCAAGAAAGCAAGTGCATCCTCCAAAGCAAAGGGCAGATGTAACAGAGTGCAGCAGCATAGGGCTACCTGACACCTGGACTTGTGACCCTAGTCAACCATTTCTCCTCCTCTTGCCCATCCTTGGGGCAGCTTGCAGTGGTTTTCTCCCAGAAAGAAGCAAAAGCCGCCTTAGAAGCTGCCCTTATCCATAATTCAGTCTGTTTTAATCATATGCATCAGATACAAGAATGTGTTCAAATGTATTGAGAAATATTAGAGGAAAGAGTAGCAGTGCCTTGAAGACTTCTTGAGGCTGGGGTTTGGGGGTGGTGCCCCCTGATGGCTGGAACCTACCAAGACCAAACCAACTTCAGGGTT